TAACAAAGCTTATTGGTTGTACTTACTCTAGCAAGTGTGGTCTGCAATTCATCAATATTTCAACACCTTACTCACCACCAAAGCTTGTCAGCTCCGTTCAGAACTTTGAAATCTCACAAAAGGGTTGCGCACGATAGAAGATTTTGTTCTTCGTGTTCGCGAGATTAATGACTCTCTCATCTCCGTCGGCGATCCTGTTCCGCTTTGCAATCTCTTCGAAATCGTACTTGACGCTCTTCCAGAAGTACGATCTCATTGTTGCTGCTGTTAACAGCAAAGATGAACTTTGTTCTATTGATGAGCTTGAATCATTTCTTTTCGCTCATGAGTCGCGTCTTGAGAAGAACAAGAAAACTATTATCACTGAGCCTGTGTCACTAAACCTTACACAGGCGTCCTCGACATCTTCGCAAATCACTTTTGACACCCCAGGTTCTGTCTCTGATCCTATCTTTCCTTCTGGAACTAGCTATGTCAATGCATACACTGAAAGTCATGGCCTTCATTCTTGAGGAGGACGCTTTGGTCATGGTGGTGGTCGTTTTGCTTGTGTTCACTGTCAGCTCTGATACCATGTTAGATATGGTATTAGAGAGAGAATGTTGTTAGAATAAAATCTGATGAAAGATCTTGTACATTGATTTTCATATTAAACGAGAAATTCAAGATTCTATTATACAGGAAATCAATAACAAACATGACAGCTGTAGTGGGACAGTTGTACACACAAAATATTCTCTAAATCTTATGAAATCTAGAATAGTAAACTTAGATATTTTATTATTATCTCATACATTCCTCTGCAGAAGTTGATAGTGTGTTGACAAAGTTGTGTTAGCATCTTCCAATGGATTGGGAAGCTTCTCACGAGGAACTAGATTGTCACTACTGTTAATAAATGTGATTGGGTAGGGTGAAGATTTCTCCCACTTATATACACATGTTCATACCATATCTTATCTGATGTGAGACTCTTAACACACTCCCTCATGCCCAGGACTGAACATCTGGAGCGTGAAAATAAATGGTGGTGATTCGATAGCGGAAACCTAATAGTAGGTGACCCATCCGATCTTAAACGAGGCTCTTGATATCATCTTAGAATTATAGTTTGCTTATTTCTCCAATTATGTCCCGATTAAAGCCTCTCTTCATCACAGCTTCTTCAAAAACAAGTTGATCAAGAATCTCACATGAACTCAAAATAATTTGTGGTTCCTCCTCTGAGCTAAGGCTATTTATGGTTTGTTTATTATGCCTCACAAGCTCAGTTTGTCACTACCCTGAAGTGCTTTCCAACGGCAAAAGGTTCGATATATAATCCAGACGAATGCGACGTTAGACATAGGTAGAATAGTGAGGTGAAAATGTCCATGGAACTAAGCCAGGCTGAAAATGCCCATGGTACTAATCCAATTGATTAATAGAAGCATCTCTCACGCGTAACTGTTCCCCATGTAACCAATTTGTATAGTCTTTCATGTATATCTTCATGTTTCAAACTTGAGGGATAAACGATTTCGAATCCAGTAACATCATTGGAAAGAGTTATAAAGATAATTTTGGATGTCTTATCAGGAGAAAAAGACCAAAAGCAAATTCATAACTCTACAAACTAAACACACGACATGTCGTGAACTACGAACGATCTAGGTTGAGTACATTTTTTTGTAAAGCTGATAGTTAAAGCTGAGCTCTTAAGAAAGGAAGAGTTATGAATTTGTTTTTCGGCCTCTTTGCTCATGATAAGGCATCCGAAATGGGCATTTTCACTCACTATTTTGCCTAACGTTGCATTAGTCCGGATTATATATCGGATATTTTGCCATTGGAAAGCCCTTCAGGCAGTGAGAAACTGTATGAGCTTGTGAGGCATAAAAGATAAACCACACGTAGCCTTAGCTCAGAGGAGGAACCACAACACATAAGATAATATATGGCCTGAACATGTGTTTATAAGTGGGGGCAGTCCTCACCCTACCAACCAGTTTTGTAGGGTTGAGTTAGGCCCAATCACATTTCTTAACAGTATTGACAGTCTAGTTCCTCATGAGAGCATTTTTACACTTTGGGGTTTTTTTTCTTACGAGCAACACGCTTTTATGAGAGACACAACACATACTCACCCAAAACCTTAAGGCAAATAAATGTGAGTTCTCCCACTTATAAATACTCAAGTCTCCACATTCCTAACCAATGTGAGACTTTCCCACACTACTCACACTTGTAATTCTTTTTCAACACTTTCCCTTAAGTGGAAACTCTTTATCCACATACACTTGTACCGTTGTTGACACTTTTCAACAGGTCACCTCCTACCCAGTAGGGAATTTCGATACAAGTAAGCTGAGCTCTTTACTCGAACCAAAGGCTCCTGATACCATTGTTAAGAAATGTGATTGAGTCTAACTTAACTCTACAAAATCGGTTGATAGGGTGAGGACTACCTTCACATGTTCAGGCCATATACTATCTATATACTATCTGATGTGAGACTCTTAATAACTACTATTAGCTAATGGAGAGTTATTTTTATTTGTTGTTTGATTAAATATCTGCCAAACCTATTCAGGGTATGCTCTGTTTGCTAAAATATAGCTACCATATGTCATTCACGCAATAATATAGTGAATTTGCCATTCTTTTTTATTGCAGTGTTTCTTTGAATTCAGGATACATGTTTTTTGTTTGTTTTTATTATTCAACAACCCAATTGCGTTACAAAAATTCTTGCAAATAGTATATTACAAAGAGAAGTAAATGGTTATAACATGAGTCACATGCCTTTTCTCCTGCAAGTATTCTACTACCCTTAGTTTCATCCTTAGCCGTTGTGCTTGAGTTGGATAATGCTTTTTATAGCTATAGAAGGCCCGTACTGTCTTTTATGGGTCATTGCTTCTCTTACATACATATTTTTCATTTCTGAATGAATTTTCAGTCTCCTTTTTGCTTGAGTAAGAAAAAATGACGGGGCTGCTAGGATTGTCTTGAACTTGTTGTTATTACTTGATGGGTAACTAACTTTGTATTCTACTGTAAGTTTTATTTTCTCCAAAGAGCATGATTAGTTGGTTACTAAAATAGCTATTTTATACATTAAAATAACCATTAAAACTAATAAGCATATTGAGTTACATATTTATTCTTATTAATTAACTTTCTATAATCATGATATCTCTGTTGTATCACCTGTTTTGTATCTTAAGCTTAAGATTAACCAGACTGAAGTGAGTGTTATGATATTCACGTAGAGCATCATCTCTGCTCATAATCGCAAGGATATGTAATCATATACTCAACATGTTTTTTTTTCCACTAAAAAAGTTTCTGTGCAGTTTTATGTGAATCTTAATGTGGCAAAGGGGCATAACATTTGTGTCATTGTATATTATTTTAAATAACTTTTTCTCAACCCGGTCTCATATCTAACTAACCTGTGATATCATTTATTCATTCCTTTTTAGAGCTTTTGGAGGAAGGTCGGGAAGGAAAGAATCGTCTTTCTTAAGATCAAAGCTTGAACATCCCACACAGGTTATACACATACATACACATATAAAACCAAACTTTAAGGCATCGTTTAATCTCAAGTGATGAGTTATAAACAAAATGGAGGTATTAAGATATAGCTATTCGGACAATTGTGAACCAAATTCACAAACTTAAAAAACCTAACCCTAAATCAAACAAAATAAAAATGAGACATCGAGCAATAGATAAAATAGATAAAACAAATGCAATACTCAAGATATAATGTACATCATTTAAAACTAAAAAAGAAAATGAATGTATTATACTAACTTGATGTAGTATGTGAAGCAATTAAATTTACTAAGTATTTTTCAGATGTCACAGTTAACTTACAAAATTGAATAACGAAGTTAGTTTGAATGAGTAAGAGTAAACATTTAGAGATTTTGGCTAAATTGTGCCAGCATACATGAGAGAGTTTGGACATTTGATCTTTTGTTATAAATCTATAACGAATTCGAGAAAAATAAATGACTTGTTATATTATGATTTTGTCCAAAGTGTCTTATTCACATAATGTGTCAGAATATTTATATCTAGACCCACTCATTTAAAAATTATATGAGTGTGTCAGAAAGTTTTTAGGCATAAGTAAGAAAGTCATAGATTTTAAGAGAAATACTAAAAATGTGTTTAGATGAATTATTTTAACGCAAAATAAAATTTAAAATGATTTTAAAACACTTATCTAATACATTTTTTTTTTTAAATTCAATTTCTTTTTTATGATTTTTACCGATTTTTGACCTTTTATTTTTCAATTCATGAAATTAGAGGGCAAAATCGTAAGAGAGTGATTTTTCATCCTTGATTTTCCCTCCTTTTGTTCTAAATTTTGGGATAGTTTCCCTCCGATATTCTCATTTCTTCCCTTCCTTTCGCTTTACTCCCAGACTCTAGCGATTTTGTTTCACCATAACTCAAATTTCAAGCGATTCTCTCTTCGTTCTTCGTCAAGGATTAAGGTATTTTCATTCTTCTCATTTGGTTCCTTTACACGATTTACGACTTCGATTTCATTTTAAGATTTTATATAATTGTAGTTGTAGTGAATTCAACCAATTGTTATAAGCGAAGCCTTGCCGGAAACTCTGACGGAGTTTGTTATCAGTTGCCGGAAACAGTTAGAAAGCTCGTTCACGTTTTTCTTTTCTGATTTAGTTTTCAAATTTTCATTTCCCTCTCATGTAGCCCGTGCGAGAATGCGATTCCGATAGTTTACACAATTCTATCACCTGCAACTAACTTTTTCATGTTGTTTGGTTGTTATAAATGAGCTGGCTTATTGTAACTGTCTCGCCGTTCTTATAAACAAAGTGATTGCACTATTGTTACCATATAGAATCGATATTCGATAGAACAAATAACAAGTTCAATTCAGTTTTCCTTGTCTATGTTTCGGTAATGAATATTGAATTCGTTGTCGTAATCTGAGGGAAATTGTTAATCCAGGGAAAGTACTCAATATGTATGGGAGAAAAGCTTGCCAACTCGTGAAAGAATTTTCAAGTGGAGAAAAGGGCCAGCTCACACCCTTTAATGTAAGCCTGGTCTTCATTTTTCAGTTAGACACTCATTATTAATTTCTAGTTGTTGGTTTATGTTGGAACCTGTGTTGTGGAAAATAATATGCATGATTTATTTGATTGTAAACCCTATTTTGGCACTTAACTTTTGGTGAATTTTATTTTTGGAGTTTTAGGAAAACTTGGCACTGTTTTGTAAAACCCATTTAAGATGTTCCCAGCCTATATCATCAGTGTCCTGGGATTGCTAATTATATATCTAGTGCAGACCTTTTCCCATACTCTGATAAAAAATCATTAATCAATATTTATATTGTTGTGAATATGTGCTTGCTTTGACTTGATACTTTTTTCCAATGCTCTTGTAGAATGACTTGTTTGACCAAGTAATTTCAGAATGCAGCCAACATCACCTTGAGCTTCAGGCCTTGATAAGGTAATGGTTAAGATAATGTCCTGATTCTCTTTTTCCTGCTGTGTCCTTTTTCTTCTTGTTGGAGTATGACACCTCACACGGGCATGATTTTTGTTGAATGTGTGTCTGTGTTGGTTGAGTCATATTGCTAAGTTAAATGTGAGGCAATGGAGTGTCTTGCATATTTTACTCACGAATCCCTTTCCACGGTATGTTTTTCTATACGGACATGACATGAGTTTAGTGTTGTGTAAACAGGAAGATGCAGGAAGAAGGTTTGGATGTCCAAACAGCTAGAAATCCTGACCACTATGGAGCCCTCATCCATCTATTTTCTATAGTCCGAAATAAACGTTGCCTAACAGCCTATGTGTAAGTACCGCTTTCAAATGCCATTTGCCATCATGCATAGTTCCTTTATTTTTGTTCTTTGATTATGAACATATATCCATTCAGGTATAACCGAGCAGAAACTATGCGGAACCTGTTATGGAAGATAGGGCCTGTGATTCCTAAAGGAATTGAAGAGAAGCTTAATCATTGGGAGGAAGAGTATTTCAAGAAGCATTCTGCAGCATTGAGAGATTATATGTCAAAAGCACTGGTTGATTTGACTGTGGTAACCTCTCCTATCCTTCCCTCATCTCTCTCCTTTCTCTTTCACACACATGCACATGTATACTTCACAAAGAGAAAGGTACCGATTTATGTTACAAATACGTCTATTGATTTGCGTTTTCATGATCTTTTATCTGTAATAAAACCCTTAGAAAATTTAGCTTTAGCTGCTTATGATTTTCTTAAGGAAGCCACATGTATGCATCTCAACCTTGGGTTCTAGGTAGTTGAGTGATTCTATTGATGTTGATGCAACTGAGGAATGTTAAGCATCTGTGTCAGAAACATTTATGTGTCTAGTTATATAGATGGAACCATCATTTGATTTTTTGTGCTTCTGCCTGTTCTGTCGCTAGACCGATTGGTGGACTCACATCAGTGTTATTCTTCTTTTGAAACAAACTGAACCTTTTTATTTATAAATCAAACACCAGTGGTACGATTGTATCTTAGTTTTACAGCAAAATATACTTTTCCTTCCAGTTTTACAGCAAAATGTACATTCGAAGTCAAAAGTAATTATTGAACAAAACATCATCAACCATGATTTTTCACAATGAATCTAGTTCACTATTATTTTGCAGTTTCTGGTTACAAAATGAACTTGTAAAAAACAATGAACTACTGTATTATCATTCATGAAACCTGCTTTTGATAGGATATGGTACCACCAAAAGATCCATACATTCAAGTAAGGGTCCTTGAAGACATAAGAGAAGGCATTGTACTTAGTGATGATAAGAATCCCAATTTCGCCCGCCACTCCATGCACTTTCTGAAACGAACTGATGCAGAGAAATATATCTCGCGGGTAAATTATCTTTTACTAGCTTATAATTTGTAATCCAGAATAGTCTAAAATTCCACCTAACTATTTTATTTTCTCTCTGCAGGGCTTAATGGAAGAGCTCACTGGTTGAACTGCTTGTTCTAAAAAAAATGTAGATGATAAGTTTAATTTTGAACTTGATATGTTGAATTTGTTATTGTATTAATATTTTCTCTAGTCTTAATTATAAAAGAGTTAGTCCTAACAGGAGTGCGAGTTCACTTAATTTTCCAGAATTAATTTTCTAAATATTAGAATCCAGATTTTGTTCTTTCAATAAAATTGAAGATTAATAACCTAAATTTTGACCATGTTTTCTGAATGAATGTTTTGATAAAATAAATCAAGTAGAAAGAGGATATGATGAGTGCATAGGAAACTATTGTGTTTTTTTTGGTAACTCTTGAGTGAAACAAATAGGGAACAAAATAAACTAATAAACTCAATTGATGATATTTGTTTGCAACAACTAAAGCAAATAATAAGCGAATTTTTGAATGCATCTTATATATTTCTTTGATATCATGTGAAAATTTGAAAATGTCTATAGATTTTAAAGATGTATGTTCGGACGCATCTCATGCACACATAATTCATTTATTTTTGGACAACATTTTAATTCTATGTATAAATTTAGTTTGAAAACGGATTTCTGTGAAGTCTTTGGAAATGCATTTCTGAAAAGTCTCTCGAAATGCGTTTCTTTAACCTGTATTCTGAATATCCATAGAATCAGTCACAGATGCTTCTTGAGATGTTTTTGTTGAAATTAACGCAAAATTTTGAGAATTCTAAATCAATCTTGATGAACAAGATTCAATCGACTTGATTGAAATCTCTTGTTCTTCACTTTTCACTCAAATAAAACAATTACACACTAATTGCAAGAATGATTTTGCACAACAATTGTTAATGGAAGAAGAAAGAAAATTGAATAAAGAAGAAGATTAGTGTCTGATAAAAATAAGGGAAGAAGAAGATGATTTATGCAGAGTAACTCTTTGCTCTCAAACTGAGAAAATATTATTTACCTATACAATTGCATTTTTTGTTATGTATTCCTTGCAATTCATAATAGGATTACTTCCTATTTATAATTGAGCTAGCTTGCTCCCTAAGGTAAAGTCCAAAATTTCTATTTTGGTATAAGTCGAAATCCTGTGTCAAACAACCTGCTTTGACATCTAATTTAACTCGACACACACACAAGGCTAATTTCAATGCATCCTTGTTTCTGTCAAGCTACACCTATTTCGACACAAGGAATTACATTCTCAACACACCACCTAATTCATTATGTCTAAACTATCTATATTCATCATAGACCTTAACTTCTTGAACACTTCGACTTGCACTTTTCTCGTCATGATATTTGCAATTTGATTCTCAGTTCTACAGTGTTCCAAGTTCATCTTCCTTTCTGCTACCTACTACCGAAGATAATGGAACCTCATTTCGATTTGCTTGCTTCGCCCATGTGCTATCATATTCTTCGTCGGGTTGATAGTTGACATGTTGTCGTTCTTCATGGTAATTGCTCCATGACTCTTCGTTGTAATTTCTTCAATCAGATTCATCATCCACTTTGCTTGACATGCACAAAAAGAATCAACTATGTATTCTGCTTCGCACAACGACAATGCCAATACTGACTCCTTTCTCTAACTCCAAACAATTGGTGCACCACCTACCTTAAACACATAGTCAACTGTGGATTTTCTATCATGAGCATCACCACACCAACTTGAGTCGGTGTATCCCACTAACATGCATTCTTTTCCTTCATCAGCTGCAGGAAATAAAATGCTATAGTCGAGATTCCTTTCAGATACCTTAGTATCCTCTTCGTCGCTGCTAGGTGTGATACCTTTGTCTTCTACATGAATCTACTTACCATACCTACACTTCATGCTAAGTCAAACCTTGTGTGAAAAAGGTATCTTAGTGACCCAATAAGTCTTCTATATTGGGTTGGGTCAACACCATCTTTATCTGAATCTTTCGACAGTTGCAGTCTTGGTTCAGCTGGAGTCGAAGTTCGGTTGCAATCTTGCATCTCAAATCTCTTGAGTATTTTGCCTGCATATCTTCTTTGATGCATCATCAAATATCTACTGATATTGTAGAATTCGATATCAAGGAAGTACGAGAGAATTCGCAAGTCTGACATTTCAAACTCTTCATTTAGGTCATGTTTGAAGTCTTCGATCTCCTTCTTGCAACTTTCTGTTATCAACAGGTCATCGGCATAGAGACATAGTATAAGCAATTCACTATTGCTTTTCCTTACATATACTCCATGCTCAGTTGTGCACTTCATAATTTTCTTTTCCCTTAGAAAGTTATCTATCTTCTTATTCCAAACTCTCAGAGCTTGCTTAAATCCATATAAGGTTTTATGCAGCCTATACAACTTTCTTTCTTCGCCTTGTTTCACAAACCCAACTGGTTGTGCGACATAAACTTCTTTATCTAATGGGCCATTCAGGAATGCACATTTCACGTCCATGTGACGTATGTGCCAATTGTTCATGTTTGATATACCAACAACCAGCCTGATTGTTTCAATCCTAGCAACAAGTGCAAAAACTTTGTCGAAGTCGATTCCTTCTTTCTGAAGAAATCCTTTTGCCACAAGTCTCGCCTTGTGTCGAGTTATTTCTCCTCTGGGATTCAAATTCACCTTCTATACCCACTTCACATCAATTTCCTTCTTGTCTTTTGGCAATTCGACAAGTGACCAAGTGTTGTTGATTTCGATGGACTTTAGTTTCTCATTCATTGCTTTCTTCCACTTCGAATCTTTCAATGCCTCAGCTGCATTGACTAGTGCGACATCTGTAACACCCTTCTAAACCCCACGAAAAATATAAGCATAATCAGAGTAAAATTAACATGCATTCGCAAAGGGCGTCTCACATACACTTCCAAATTACTAAAAACCATCTGTCATGCTCATTAACACTGAAATAAATAAACCATACATTACAAAATTTCATTTGCATGTAGCAACGGACTCATTTATATCACCATTTTTCATAAAAGAAATATTTGTGTTTATCACATAAATCAACATCACTTAGGCACTGAGGCCAACATCACAATATCTCAATAATACGAAAACAATGTATATCACTACAACATAAACCAAGCGATTCCAGTGTTACATGACCAGAGCATTGACTCAACCCAACATGATTAACTCACTAAACAACTACACCAATAGCGACTTCGTAACTACGAGCAATACTACTCCTTGATACTTGCACGATGTCATGTAGGACATCATTCCAGCAAAAGGGTGAGAAATATTATCATAATAACAATGCATATAATCATATATAAATGCACAACTACAGAATACATATATTCCACATTTTCTCACCATAATTCATCAATTCATCATATACATCGCATATTTTCACAATTCTCACTATACTTCATCATAACTCATCATATACTTCATAAAACATATATACACAAACAAATATGGACAATCATCAAACATATCCATAATTCTCATCTTTCCACATAAGCATACACATATGCATACTTTCACACAACAATCATATATTCATGCCATAAGACTCAATGCAACTCATGCCATATGGTACCAACACTTGTTATGATTTTTTGGTTTTTACACTTAAACCGGGTCCACCCTTCTAGATCGATAACAACAAAAGCCCGTTCCCTAAGCTTTTAAACCCACCCTTCTAGGTTTGGGACAAGTCACTAGTCTCCACGAAACTAGCAAACATTGCCTCTTGACTAAATGATGCATATGCAATCAACAACAAAATGCACTTAAGACCGTTCACTCGTCTTAATCCCATGCATTCAAATAATTCATTCATTCAAGAATTATAACATGATTGCACACGCAACATTTTCATATTCAATAACATCATATTCATCGAGCAATGCACACATATTCACAATATATTCCCATGCATTCTTCACAACATTGCATACAAACAATATGCATTCATAATTCAATATCATCACCGCATTATCAAGCAATGCACACATATTCACAATATGTTCCCGTGGATTCTTCACATACTATAACATATAATCGATATATATATATATATATATATATATATATATATATATATATATATATATATATATATATATATATATATATATATATATATATATATATATATATATATATATATATATATATATATATATATATATATATTCACAACATCGTGCCAAACGGCCACAAACCCCATCACAATTCATCATGCATTTGTAATCAATTTAAAATAATGCATTATATACGCCAAAAGGCCACATTTCATAATCAATTCCACAATCTAGGATTCACGCCTTACGGCTACCCACAACACAACATATCACAACAATAATCACCGCCTCGTGCGACAGGGTTAATCATATACGAATCGGAAAACCGACCTCAGATGGAACACACAAGAAAATCACATCCTGTCATGCTCGCCACCTTTCTCGCTAAGCGATCCCCTAACGAGTGCTCGCTACATATTCGCCCAGCGAACAAGCTCGCGAAGGCAAACAAAAGCCACTGACTTGATTCGCTAGCTCACTCGCTCAGCGAAGGCCTAGCGAACCTTCGCTACCCCATTCGCTACCAGCGAAACCCACCAAATACATTCTGCTCAAGTTTTGGACCGTTCGCTACTGGCTCGCCACAACGAATGCTCAGTGAATGCTCGCGACCTGCTCGCCTAGCGAACTAGCTAGCGAGGGTCTGCGAACTCAGAATTTCCCACTGTCCAAAACTCCGAAACTCCTCAAAATCCACCCGATTCAATTCCAACTCGTTCTAGTAGCCTTAGCCCAACATTCCCCGACTAAACATTACCACTTATTCTCATTTTCGACCGTTAAAACTCGGTTTCTACCGATTAGACTCATTTATACTCTAGAATGGAAAATGGAGAAAACACCCAAACAATCCATACAATCCATACATAATCATAAACATTGATAAAATAACAACATTTCACACCCTTACCTCGATTAATCGGAAGCTAGAAGTCGTTCTTGATGATTCCAAGCTTTTCCCCTTTTTCTCCTTTTTTCTCTTCTTCCTCT